TTTCTAAGAAGGTAGTTTATAGGCATCAACAGACTGCCAAAGTGGGGAAAAGGTTAAAAATGTTTGGAAGTACCTTGGATATGGTACAGTAAAATGGGAAAGTGTCTACTATGCAGACTTGAGTTGTGGTTCCTGGTGCCCACATACAAAACAAAAACAAAAACCAGGCACGGTATCCTTTGTTTGGAACCTCATCCCTGGAAACAGAGGCAGGAGGATCCCTGGGGCCCAGCTAGTTTAGTTTAACCAATGAGCTCTACATTCACTAAGAGATGCTATCTCAAATAAGATGGAGGGGCAGGAGAGATGGCTGGGAGCTGCGGGTAAGATACTTCACTGCACAAGTATGAGGACCTGAGTTCAGATCCCAGCACCCACAGAAAAAGCCTGATGTAGCCATATGTAATCCCAGACAGAGATTGGGACAGAGATGGGGGGTGGTGGAGGGTGGTTCCGTGTCACTGGGGTTTGCTGACTGCTGGCCTCACTCTAGGCTCGGTGAGAGATGTCCTGTCTTAAGAAAGGATAAGGTAGATAGAGCGGGACACCCAACGTTTTCTACTGAACCTTCGTGCATGCACCTGCACACATACAGGCACACACAACAGGTACACACATATGCATACATGACACATACACACATGCACATACAACACATAAACACATGCACATACAACAATACACACATACACAATAAAACCATAAGATGGAAAGCAATAGAGGAAGACACTTGATACTGACTTCTGGTCTCCACACATATGCACACACACCTACATAAACATGCACACACACACACCCCACACACATGCATGCATGCACGCACACAGAGGCATGTGTGTGTGTGTCTGAAGGTTTCATAAATGCTTGGAGGCCCACGGTCAACTCAGTCAGAGCCCAAGACCAAGGTCCCACCTGGCTCTGTTCTCCACAAATCATTCCCTTCCAGAAACCATCCAGGAGGCATCGCAACCACTAGGCTTTGTGTGTGTGTGTGTGTGTGTGAATAACTCAAGATGATTTCATTCTTAATTTGCAATGTTACAACTCTGCACAGTCATAAAATTCTCATGTCAGCCTGCAGGCTTTTCAACGCAGAGGCGGCTTCTTCAGTGAAGATCCGTTCACGGGCACTAAAAACAAATGGATGAATTAAAGAGAACTGTGTCTAGTTCCACGGGCTTTTCATCTCAGCTGCTCCTATTCAGGAGAATGAGGCAGGAAAATCAAAAGTTCAAAGTCAAAAGTCGGAGCCTGGAGGGGTGGCTCAGCAGTTAAAAGAGGAAAGGAAGCCGCAGACATCAAATTCAGGTGCCAGCAGGGGGTGCCAGAGACTCACTCTCAAACCTTCGGCTGCCCCAAGCTCTCAGTACCCATCTCCTAGTGCGTGGTCCTCTGGCCCCGAGACGAGTCTCTAGAAAGGAGGACTGAGCACTTTCCCTTCATTTTACACTGCATCATAGTCCTTGGTACCCTCCACACTGCACCCGACTTCGGGACTAGACCCAGCTTCGGGTCACGTGCTCTGCTTTGCGGCTGGTGGGGCTTAGATGGCTGCGGTTGAAAATAACATGAATGTCCAATAGGGGGAGCCGGTGAGCAGGCAGATGTCTGCCGAGCCAGGGAGGGAAATTGTCTTTCTCAGGTTTCTTTCTCCTTCATTTTCTTCCCCTTTTCCTCTTCCCTTCTCTGTTTATCCCCTCCTCTCCTCCCATCTCCTCTCCCGTCTCTTTTCTTCTCTTCCTCTGCTCCCTTCCTCTCCCCTTCCTCTTTTCCTCCAGTGTTAGGGGCAGACTTCAAAGCCTGAACTCACTCTGCAGCCAAGGTTGTTGTTGTTGTTGTTGTTGTTCTCCTCCTCCTCCTCCTCCTCCTCCTCCTCCTCCTCCTCCTCCTCCTCCTCCTCCTCCTCGTCCTCCTCCTCCTCCTCCTCCTCCTCTTCCTTCTTCTTCTCTTGTTAGCTTCTTTAAAATTGGGCATATATGCCTGCCTATGTCTGGGTACATGCACATGAATGCAGGTGTGCTCAGAGGCCAGAGCCATCAAATGCCCTAAAGCTGGAGTCCCAAGCAGTTGTGAGCCATTCAAAGTGAGACCTAGGAAAGGAGCTTACATCCTCTGCAGGGTTCTTGACGGCTGAAAATTCCCTGTCTTCTCCTGCCTTGCCCTCCTGAGTAGGAGTGACTGAGATTAAAAGCCTATGGAAGTAGACACAGCTCTTTGTAGATTTACTTATTCATCTTTAGCCTCTGGGAACTGAAGTTCTCTGGAAAGGCCACCTCTGTATTGTATATCCTGCAGATGACTGTCTGCTGAGAGATGACTGACTTGGGATTGGAGAGAGTTGGAATATTGCAAATCAAAACCCCAAATCATCTTCCGCTATCCTTACTCCTCGCGGTAGCTGTGTATTACTGACCTCTGTAGTTATATGTATTATTTAATTATGCAGGTATTCTATCTGTCCTAACGTCTCCTTGATGAGATCAGGAAACAGAGACTGCTCAGGCAGTGCAGTGCCCCCATCAGCAGACTTGAAGAATGTCCCGCTTCTTTGTTTCCCCCAAGCACCTGGCAGAGGCTGTATTTCCTACTGACTGCCTTGGGAAGAGGCACCTGGATCAACCGGTTTAATCCACCTCCCCCCCCCCACCCCGCCCTATACTGCTTTGCATTTATTTTGATGCTGGCTGTTGGCTTGCTGTATATTGCTTTTATCATGGTTAGGTATGTTCCTTCTATTCCTGATCTCTCCAAGACTTTCATCATGAGAAAGGGATGTTGGATTTTGTCAAAGGCTTTTTCAGCATCTACTAAGATAATCATGGTTTTTTTTTCTTTCAGTTTGTTTATATGGTGGTTTACATTGTCAGATTTTCCTGTGTTGGACCATCCCTGCATCTCGGGGGTGAAGCCTACTTGATCATGGTGGATGGTTTTCTTTTATGTGCTCTTGGATTCAGTTTGCCAGGTTTTTATTGAGTATTTTTGCATCAATGTTCGTGAAGGAGATTAGTGTGTAATTCTCTTTCTTTGAGTCGTTTGGGTATAAGGGTAACCGTAACCTCATAAAAAGAATTGGCAATGTTTCTTCTGTTTCTGTTGAAGAGTATTGGTATTCTTTGAAATTCTGGTAGAATTCTATGCTGAAACCACCTGGCCCTGGGCTTTTCTGGTTGGGAGGTTTTTAGTGACTACTCCTACTTCCTTAGGGGTTATAGGTCTATTTAAATTGTTTACCTGGTCTTGATTTAATTTTGGTATTGTTTATGTCTTGTAGACTTTCCAATTTTGTGCAGAACAGATTTTTGAAGTATGACCTAAAGATTCTCTGGATTTCCTCAGTGTCTGTTATGTTCCCTCCTTTCATTTCTGATTTTGTTGTGTTGTTTTTTCAAAGTTTTTTTTGTTTTTGTTTTTTGTTTTTCGATACAGGGTTTCTCTGTAGTTTTGGAGCCTATCCTGGCACTAGCTCTTGTAGACCAGGCTGGCCTTGAACTCACAGAGATCTGCCTACCTCTGCCTCCCAAGTGCTGGGATTAAAGGCTTGTGCCATCACTGCCCGGCTTATTTCAAAGATTTCTTTATTATGTATACAGTGTTCTGTCTGCAGGCCAAAGGAGGGCACCAGATCTCATCCCCTTATAGATGATTACTGGGAATTGAACTTGGGACCTTTGAAAGAGCAACCAGTGCTCTTAACCTCTGAGCCATCTGTCCAGGCTGGGGATATAGCTTACTTAGTTGGTAGAGTGTTTGCCTAGCATGTACAGGGCTCTGGGATTTATCCCCAGTGTTGCATAAAACTGGGTATGATGGAACACATCTGATTTTGCTAATTTCAGTATTTTTTTTCCTCTGCCCTTTGGTTAGTTTAGATAAGGGTTTGTCTATCTTGTTGATTTTCTCAGAGAACCAGTTCCTTTTTTCCTTGATTCTTTGTAGTGTTTGTTTCTATTCGATTGATTTCAGCCCTGAGTTTGATTATTTCCTTCCATCTACTCCTCCTGGGTGAGTTTGCTTCTTTTTGTTCTAGAGCGTTCAGGTGTGCTGTTAAGTCACTAGTGTGAGATATCTCCACTTTCTTTATGCCGGCACTTAGTGTTTGGTGGGAAGCGAAACCTCAGCTCCCAGGCACCTCCTTTATACAAGGAGTCTGGAATGTTTGGTGGAAAGTTCCAAGCCCCCCTCCCCTGGGAGTTGCTACAGTTCAGACTCCACCTCCAAGAAAGCTGGCCAAATGGTGACCCTCCCCAGGGAGATTCAAGACTACGCCCATGGGCTATTTAAGCTGCCCCCCCCCCAACAAATATGTGGTCTTCTGGTTTTCCTTCCCCCACCTTCCTATTTTCCTGGAGAGTGCTGGCATCTGTTAAACCTGGGCTTCTTCTAATTTGATTTGATTTGGATTATTGCATTGGAGGAGAGGTTTGTTGGGCTGAAAAAAACTTAACATTTAGTGCTATGACCGTTCCTCTTAGCACTGCGTTCATAGTTCCCATAAACTTAGGTATGTTGTGAATTCATTTTCATTGAATTCTAGGAAGTCTTTCATTTCTTTCTTATTTCTTCCTTGACCCAGTTGGGAGTTGTTCAGTGTCCATGGGTTTGTAGACTTTCTGTAGTTTGTGTTATTGTTGAATTCTAACTTTAACCCATGGTGATCTGATAAGATACAGAGGGTTGTTCCAATTTCTTTTTCTTTTTTTTTTTTTTTTTTTGTATCTGTTGAGATCTGCTCTGTGACAGAGTCTGCGGTCAGTTTTAGAGAAGGTTCCATGAGGTGCTGAGAAGAAGGTATATTCTTTTGTGTTGAGGTGAAACGTTCCGTAGATGTCTCTTGAGTCCATTTGAGTCATAACATCTGTTAGTTCCCTTATTTCTCTGTTAAGTTTCTGTCTGGCAGATTCTTCCATTGGTGAGAGTGAGGTGTTGAAGTCTCCCACTATTTGTGTATGGGGTTTGATGTGTGATCAAATTTTAGCCATGTTTTTTTTTTTTTGCAGATGTGGGTGCCATTTGTATTTGTGGCATAAATGTTCAGAATCAAGACTTCATCTTGATGGACTTTTCCTGTGGTAAATATGAAATGTTCTTTTCCATCGCTTCTGATTAATTTTAGTTTGAAGTCTGTTTTGTTAAATATTAGGATAGCTATACCCGCTTGCTTCTTAGGTTCATTTGGTTGGAAAATCTTTTCGCAACCCTTTACTTTATGTTCGCCTTTGAGGTTGAAGTGTGTTTCTTTTATGCATCAGAAGGATGGATCCTGTTTTTGTATCCATTCCGTTAGCCGTATCTTTTTTTTTAATTTTATTTATTTATTATGTATATAATATTCTGTCTGTGTGTATGCCTGAAGGCCAGAAGAGGACGCCAGACCCCTATTACAGATGGTTGTGAGCCACCATGTGGTTGCTGGGAATTGAACTCAGAACCTTTGGAAGAACAGGCAATGCTCTTTACCTCTGAGCTATCTCTCCAGCCCTAGCCGTATCTTTTTATAGGCAAATTGAGTCTGTTGATATTAAGAGATATTAATGACCAGTGGTTGTTGATCCTTGTTATTTTTTTTGTTTTGTTTTGTTGGTGACGGTGGTAGTATGTGTGTGTTTCCCTTCTTTGGGTTTGCTGGTGTGAGATTATCTATTGCCTGTGTTTTCATGGGAAGCTAACTAACTTCCTTGGATTGGAGTTTTCCTTCTAGTACTTTCTGGAGGGTTGGATTTTTGAATAGGTATTGTTTAAATCTGGTTTTTCATGGAATATCTTGTTTTCTCTGGCTATGATGATTGAAAGTTTTGTTGGCTGTAGTAGTGTGGGATGGCATCTGTGGTCCCTTAGTGTATGCAAAATGTCTGTCCAGGACATACTGGCCTTTAGAGTCTCCATTGAGAAGTTGGGTGTGATTCTGCCTTCATATGTTACTTGGCTATTTTGTTTTTGATTATTATGTGGCAAGAGTACTTTTTTTTTTTTTTT